CACTATAAGGGATTAGAGTATACTAAACTTTACACATTATATAGGCTACACTAACGTGACGTTTAGGCGGTTAGTTTTAACTACTATGCGTGATGTACGTTTTTGGGGGGTGGTTAATGAAAGTGTTCCAAAACACGACATTAATTTCTTGACGACCTAATACTTCAGGAATAGAAAGATGTATTAAAATAAGTCTTAGTTATATGGAATGAGGTGTTATGGGCCTACCCTGTGACCATATCAATGAGTTCATTCAAATTATCTTCAATTCATATCCTTCGGAAATTTTATAAATATACATCACACATCCAAAATGTCAAAGGTATAGAAAATAACAAATGAAATATTTTAAACCAAAAATTGCCAAAATCGCTTCTCAAAAACAACAGTTATAGGCATTAGTGTACCCTTTTCATGCACATGGGGGTGTGAGACAAAAGAACGAAATCCATCCGTAGCAAATGTTGTTTGTTACACAAATCTAAGTTTGAAGTGCAAGGTTCAAAATTTTGCGAACGCAGTCAAAGCACCCTTGAATGATTGAAAATGTTAAAAAGTAGTGTATAAACCTACATAAGGTAATACACAAGCAATGTTATGCAGATGCTCCAAAATCATATAAATAATGGTATTTCAGTTGAAGAACAGTTTACCATGGTTCCACTGTATGGAAAATGTCATCAGGATGCCCGTGCTGCTTCAAAATTATATAAATAACGGTTCCTAGATTAAAGTCATCCTTCACATCAAAAGACAGAAAATGTGTGTCAGCGGCTGCGTACTACAAGCTATATCATGCATAAAAGTCGTGTGGGCAAACAAAGAACAGCAACAAATACTGACAATGAAGCCATTATATTGGCACTTGGCACAACTATTTAATGTTTTCCGCCCTTTCGTAATACTGTTGGAATTTTCACCTCATCTGCATGAATTTGTTTTATTGTTTTATTTGTTCTTGCCTACACTTCAGCTATTGACAACTTTGGTGTATGATGAATAGCAATAAATGTTTCGAAGGACATGACCTTGAAGCTTACCTTGAATGACCTCAATGATAATGCCAGAGGGTAGGCTTACAAAATCTAACAATTGTATAACTAATAATTGGTTTCCTGTATTATTACATTTCTGATTTATTTGCCTGTCAATAGAATTCTGAATTGCCCAAGCACATTAGAGTATTAAAAATTAATATATATATATATATAAAGTAGTTTTTAAACTACTTATTACGCTAATAGTTACATATATTCAAATAACATACTGCAAGTTTTGTTCACTAGCTGGAGTACTCAACCCCTGGACGGAAGTTATGTAAATTCATGAATAAAACAAGGTTATCGTTGGAAATGAAAAGTTGCTTCCCTTATATGTGTGTTCCCCAGTGGCACAGCGGTATGTCTGCGGACTTACATCGCTAGAATCCGGGTTTCGATACACGTGGTGGGCAGAGCACAGATAGCCCTTTGTGTAGCTTTGTGCTTAATTATCGAAAATTTGCATATATCTCCGCAAGGACCTAACAAACCTTCATGCCAGTTTGGTGAAGTTCCATCAACAG